TGGCGAGGCAGGATATACAAGGATACGGAAGTGCGAAAAAGCTGCTTGCAAATAACAGAGAGGAGAATAAGAATGGGAATGGAAATGAAAATGAAAATGAAAATGAAAAGATTAAATACAGAATGCCGCAAAACGTTGCCGCATTAGCAACAATTCACCGTAAACCGAAACAGTGGCAACAACAACAGCTTTAAATGGAGTACACAATGGCAGCGCCGGAACAATGCCAATGCGACAGCGTTAGCGGCTGCATCAGTTAAAGAAACAAGAGGCAGGGTAATAACAACAACAGTCTTCTTGTTAAGGGGGGCTAGATATCCTTATATGTAAGTGTGTGCGCTTGTGTTTCTGGTAATGTTTTCACCAATGCGCATTCACACACACCCACACATACATTCATACGAGCACACATGTGTCAATTTGCAGCGTTTTCTGGGCGCGCGCGYATGTTGCTTGTGATGGCATGCAACGCATCGCCGCAGAATGCTGTGGCACGYGTTTCGTGAGTGGAGTGCAGTAAATTACTGTCGCAGCCGCAACCGCAAGCCAAAGTACCAACAACAGCAACAACCCACAATGCATACAACCACGCCCACACACTTCGCAATCCCCAAGCGCCACCATGCGGTGTGTGCGTTAGCCGCTGTATATTCCACCACGCGATCGGCTCGCTTGTGCGAATATGTTGTGTGTGTTGGTGACCGCCAARYATGCACTTGCGAGTGGCATGTTGACTACTTATTAGTTTCCGCGGTGAGAGCGTGGTTGCAATCTTCATGACTACAAATACCGTTTTTTCGCTTGATCAATAAAGGTGCATCCGGGTCAATATTGACTGTTTGGCTTAAGAGGAAAAGAGACTTGATCAGTTTCAGCAGATTTCTGCAAGTTTAAACTTCATCTGCTATTCGTTGTGCCAAAAATCCATAAGTCGATCAATCATAAAAGCTTGTAAAAGTTTCGGTAGTCCTAAGATTGTTTATTTTTTAACAAACAAATCGAGTTAAATTTCATGCAAATTCCTTTACTTTTGCTCTTCAAGAACTTCGCCTTGAATCCTCATTTCGCCAATACAGCCGCTAATACATTAGCTGCCGTTTACGACTTGCGACTTGCCACCAGCCAAGCATCTACGCATAAACAGCTATGTAGCAAGCTTCTCTATGCATACTCAAGTGTTGTGTGGCACTCATGCTCCATAACGTGCAACATCTAGGAATGCAACTTAGCGTATTTGTGTTGAAATTGCTCTTGTCCTTGCGGTTTCCGTTGACTCCATGGAGCAATTCTGCGTGTTTGCTATTTCCATCCGACGATTGCGAAATGATTTTAGTCGGCGCGTATATAGTATATAATTATGTTTATATACATAACTGAACATAAGTGGATATGCGCGTTTCATACTTCTGTATGCACACCCTATAGGAAAATGAGCTAACAGAACATTTGTTTAGTACTAATTCCTAAAATATTGTTCTTTTATACAAGTTAATACATTAATTGTTTGGCCTCACAATTTTTTATATTTGAATAATCACAAACGTGATTTTTTGATGTCTGGGGAAAGGTTAAATAGGAATTTCTTCATGCACTYGACTATGAAAAAGGTTAACTAATTCGTTCTAACTTTAAAAAAAGAAATGTTGTACACTTAGCTGAGTTAGGTATCTTCCTAAATTAAGGAAATGAAGAGAACTGGCGAATCGAACAAACAACTAGCGCCAACTAGGTAGGGTACTTGTTTTGAGCTTAATAGAGCTCCCGTCGACAGCACGTAGTGGAGCTACCTTTATGACTTTAACAGTCATCGCACTCGCGACTTGCCTCCCACGTCACTGTCGACAACGTCCGGTATGTTTAATGTGGGTACTTGATGACGATTGCTTTACCCCACGGCGCTCAAAAGTACAGCAGAACWAATCAATGCGTTGATCAGCGCCCTGAAAATGCCTGGCATTTTTAGCACCATTTGACAGTGTGAAATGGTGTGCACTATCCCATCCAAAACCTCTGCCGTATTTTGGGTTGCAATGCAACTCCACTTTCMACTGGTAAAGTGTCAGTTCTCCCCGCATTTGGATTTGAACCACAACCACCACGATACTTTCTAGGGGCCAATCCGCATGAGCAGGTTGTTGCGAACTCCAAGGGCTACTGCTCTCCTTAATACCAGAATTATCTCTCCGGTCACACCTCGTAGGTCTACCAGAACTACTTCCTGTTGAGCTTCCATACAGCTCTGAATTGGTGGCCAGGGTTTGGATCTTATTCACACATCACATACATACACTACCCCACAATGCGACCTATCAGACCTCTGATGCAAAATCTRAAGTCTGGGTTATCCTTAACAAACCCAACGCCCCAAATGTACTCATAAGTTACTCGGCCGTTAGGACTATTCTCCCAACGTGCTTGCAATCTACACTTGACGCTACCACTTAAAAGCCTCCTGCTTCCTAGATATCTTTCCCTCTCCACATCATCATCGAAAGTCCTGTCATTCCGCAGCAATAACACACTCAAGCTCCTTCTTAACCTGAATGCAACAGCACTCTGTATGAAAATCTGGTCAAGAGGGGGTGSGTCKCTGTTGACAATCACAGCTTCGAAGTCTTGGAASTAGTATTAACAACAACAASAATATCAAACTTGAAATCCAGCTYACCARCAAGAGCTTCTWCGGACTGAGTAGACAATTGAAAAGTAAAGCCCTCSCTTGACGAACAAAGATCAAACTCTATGAGTCCCTCATCATTCCCGTCCTGCTATATAGTGCAGAGGCTCAACATCTATGAGGTGATAAAAAGCAGCGTTTGCCTGCTTCTAAAGATGTTAGAATTAATGATAATTTATTAAAACAAATGTCCAGGAAATAGACCTACATCGAAGGCCTCTTTCTTAAAATTATATTGGAATCATTAACAGCCAAAAAAATAGAGCAAATTTGAGTGCGCTGTTMATCTCTTGCTGTCCCTTTTCGCTTCTTCACTTATTTACATATTTACATGGAAGCCGTTCTTCTTATTCCAACAACTATGAAAAGCTTTTATTTCTCATTATATCAGTTATTCTTTACTATTGGCGAAATATCGTTATTTTTGATTTTCTCCACTTTTTGCTATAAAAAGTATGTGTATTTATATGTATGTGTGAATTCTTATTAATATCCACGTGGCTGCATATATTTATGTATGAGTGGGGGTATTAGAGATAACGGTATGTGGTTTTGTGTTAAAAGGTTTTGCTTTTGCTTTTGCTTTTTTTACTTGACAATCGGTGTTGGTAGTTGTAATATTGCTGATTTCTATGTATATGTGTGTAGTGTGTGTGGCTCCTTATTCGAGCGTTAAATTTTCTGTTTTTGCGGCAATGCCCGTACTATAACAATGTATGCATGCAATGGAAGGTAGTTGTGTATTGTATTTGGTTTTTGCGCCTTGAGCTGCACTAAGCAATTTCACAAATACTCCGCCACAAGTTGACACAAAAAGGCAAGCAGGCACATCAGCGCCACACAGTGCCCCAACAAACACACTTACACATAGACACACACACACACACACATATATAGTGCATGTGTGTTGAATAACGGTTTTTTGCACTTGCATCCTCTACAAAGTCAGACTGTTGCTGTCCCTGCCACATCAGCAGCTGATGGCTCGAGCACACTTGGGCGGCAACAAGGCAACAAAGTAACAGTAAGTGCAACTAATTTGCCACTAAGGGCATACACATGCACACACACACATACATTYTTGCCTGAAATGGCTTCTCTTTAACAAAAAATAATAATTTATTTCTTGTCACGTGCGGTTGTCTGCCCCAAAAAGTGTGAACTTATCTCATGAATAAATGTGCTGCACATATCGCTTATGTGCATATTTACATAAATACTTACATAACGGGAAATATTTTAATATCTTAACATCCATTCCATGCCGATTTTCAAGCGATTGTGCAACAGAGTGTGGCAGCTCAAGAAACAAAATTGCAATTAAAATACGAGAAATGAGTTGGGGATGACATGGCGTATACGTAACGGAATGCATTATACGTAATGCTATACAGGGTGGCAGGTTTCGTGCAGCTTCTTCGCTCTTCCACAGTTACTTTGGGAGCAATACACATCTAGATGTGTATAAGAGACAGATGCTATACAGGGTGGCAGGTTTCGTGCAGCTTCTTCGCTCTTCCACAGTTACTTTGGGAGCAAAATTTTGCCCCAAAGTGCAAATACTTATTCCTTGATTTCTATGTGGTTGCCACATTTTATGAAGTTTTTCCCCAAGCATGCAAAAATTAAGAAAAAAGAAAACAATGGAATGAAGCCCTCAAACAATTAKGAACAAAACCCAAGTGCACTTGCACATAACTTCKCGCACTTGTGAKAGCGACATTATAGTCACACACACATACAGCCATCAAGAGCTTAAATGCTTAAAGCTGKCTGCAACACATGCAGCAGAATCTGCGTGCATACTCCAAGCTCACTTCTTTTAAGTTTCACATTCTGTTGTTGTAGTGTTATAGTGTTATAATGTTATTTGTAATATGTTGTTGTTCTTGTTTTTATTGTAGTATAGTATAGTRATAATATGCTCTTTGCGAAATTGAAACAAGGAAAAGTTATTAAAACAAAAATTACAAATCTAAAATGGAAAGTAGACTCACATAACAGTAAAAAGTAAAAAGTAAAAGAGCACTAAGCCACACCGACTTACCACAGTCTAATATTAGCRCACAMAARWCYMCACACAC